AGTATAAACTTATTATCTGTAAAGGACTTATACTTACTATCTCTAGCCGAGACCCAAAAAGACTGGATCGATTTCGATGGCATATTAAAAACACGAAGAGCAGCTTGTTAAGAGTTACCTAGGCGACTTTTCTGTTTAATTCTTTGTTGTTTATGACAATTTTACTTATTTTAAACAAGAAAAAATTATCGTTGTCCGAATGTTATTCATGAGCTCGAAGTCGCGGTAAAAGCTAGTTATCAATCATCATCATCCACTCTATCCTATTCTGATCTAATCCTCGCAATCCCCCAAAACTAGAACAACATCCTTAACTATCTGCGAACAGTAATCTAATCTATGCCCACCTCTACTCCTCTTAACTCCTGTTCTGTTCTTCTGCCTCTAATAGCTTTTCTAGTTTCACGAAATTACGTAAAAAACTACTTTCATGCCCTAGCAACAAAAATACTGTTGACTCTCTTTATTAATATTGTTCAGGTTTAAAAAAAAAAAAAAATATGAGCTTCATACTAGACTTCGTGTCTGAGAAGACCGTAAATAGAAGGTCTCTCTTTACTCTAAGACACCATACGTATACTTTTTCGGCTTAATTATTGTTAGATGTGTTAATAGTCTTCTTTCGCCTATATATCCATAAAAAATTCAATTGTTTAATTAAGGAACGATATTATCCGATGATGCTTCTGTTTTCATATATAAATTACAGCACATAGTTTGTTTACAGCAAACATAAAGAAAACAATTTGATTTGGGATATAGTGAGGTGTTGCATTATCTTGTGGAACATTAATTTTTAGGGCGACGGTATCCGCTGAAAGTCATCTTTAGGTTGTTTTATGTTAAATTTGGAATTCCTATAAGTAATCTATCTAATTTAACTCCAATAAGAATTCGTTACGTTTCAAAACAAAACTTTTGATATACGCCAGCTGTGAAAAACTGAAAACTAGAAGGTATTGCGGTGTGCTAATAAATGCGTATAATCCTAAATTCTTTGAAAACGATTCGAAAAACTTCACTTATTTGTTGAACCCAAAGTTAAGGATACTATGAATTCCATTTCTTTCTCTTATTACAATGTGTAAAAGATCAGAAACAAAATGGGGTTGTAAATATTTTGATATAAAATGGTTGATGTTGAAGTTATATTAATAAAGTTATTTGCAACCTTATCTTAGCTCTGATCTTTCACGGTAAAAAAAATATTTTGGCATCAGTGTCTTTTTTCCAATTAAAACGGGTGACAAAGGCAAATAAGGAAGCATATAGAAGAATTGTTTGTTGTTGAACTGAAGAAACTATAACATAAAGATAAAAAACTATATCTTAATCACTTCAAACAAAAAATGTTAGTCATACTCAATCTTTGTAGCTGGTGATACAGTGCAAACACCACCGTTAGTCTAGAAAAATTCCAATAAGGTTTTCTTAAAAAATATTTTATACTTAAGTAAATGTAGAAAATCAAATAGGTACTACAAAAAAGTATTTATTTGAAAAAAGTATTTTGAAAATAGGTATTTTACATTTAGCATATAAAATACAAAAGGGAAATCTATTTTGTATTTTACATTTGAAATAACAAATCAAAAAAGTATTTGCATTTTGTATTTAAATGCTTTTAAAAGACCATTTTGCATATCTCTACAGACACGTCTCATGTCTTAAGTCGAACTGCTTTGTAATTTGAGCGCATCGACTTCTATCCTCTGTAGTCGAACTTTATGAATAAAAAGAGCCGAAAGTGGCTTGATTATATAAAACTTGATTTACCTGCTAATCCGGTATATAAATTTCATGAGAGCCCACATTTTCGGGAATACCTAAAGACTGTAGGTGTCTCTCCTAACACAGCCCTCCTATTAAGTAAAAAAATTAACGAATATTAATACCGCTTTTGGAATATTTTTATGTACGCCTGCTTCTAACTGCATTGCGAAGAGACAATTTTCCGTACACCGAAGATTAAAAAACCATCCCAAATGCGACTAAATTCGTTAGTTTCTGCATCAATTATGCCATAACTATATTATTTTACAAGGTAAGGATGTGAAGAAATGCTGCTGATGATAGAGGTAGTCACACTTAATTAGACCGGGGCAGCAGTAAACCTAAATACGCTAGCGTGTAATGTATAATTTCAGTAAAATTAAAAAGAGAAAATAAAATTCGAATGATTTTATGATTTTCAGCTAATATTACGTACCACTGTAGAAAAATGTAATTGAAGATGTTATAAAATTATATGTGTCGAAATTAAGGACAAGTTTGCTGTACTTATACAAAAAAAGAAGGTAACCTATTTGAAAGTAAGGAATTTTAACAAAGTTTTATTATTAGATGTTTTGATCCATAAATATTTGCTATGAGGTATTCAACTAATTGTAAGAAAAAGTAGCGTTCATAATTAGCTTACAAACCGCAAAATTTCTCTTTTCTTTGTATCAGAGCAGTAACCCAATACATAAAAGCTTCCATTCTGCTTTTTATACTTTCCAAAGATCATATATAACACTCCAACTGTTGAAATCAACATTCATTGCTATGATTTATATATAGTAAATTTTATGTTNTTAACTCCTGTTTCTGCTTCTAATATATCTTTAACTAAACCTTCATAACTAAGAAGGCGCCCTACCAATCTACCTTACCTTTTTTTATTGACGTACTTTAAACAATGAGAACTTAGAAGGGTTGGTTATTTGAATAGGGGTAAAGTTCATACTTCTTTTACTAGGTATATGAGAATCCAAATTACCTTAAATAAAAGGCAAGATGGAAACACATTTTACTTTGTAAATTTGTTGTTGAAGCCTGAATTTTAATCAGGGTTGATTATTTATGTGATATCGTCTGTTTTGTGGCCTAATTTTGTTGAAATTAATAACTGCCTTCCACATTCATCTTACAACATTAAATCTTCAAATTCAGAAGGTTCAAATTACTAAGACACAAAAATGAATATAATAAGTTTAAACATATATAAATATTAATATTTTCACAATTGGCGAAGGAGCTGGGGGTTAAAAATTACTATTCTCTACCCACCCTTATCTGTTTAATTTTATTTATTATAGCACTAATTCGCGTCGCATTTGTAAGACTTAAGAAATATTTTGGTAGTATTAGAATGGAATAGTACGGATATCTCTGAATAACCTATAAATTGAATTAATATTCTCATTAAAATTTTAACGTCATACCCAAAATAATAAAAAAAACTCTTAACGTACCCTGTGCCTACATATATTATATGTATGTGTTTTTATTTACTGCTTTAAAACGTAACATTTTAAAACCCTGAGCAGCATTAGTTTTATTTACTTTTGTTTATAATTTGTGTATTAATTCGACTTGATATTGATAACCGAGAGTGTAACATTTTAAATCAGCAATAACTAGATCTAAAACTTCAATGTAGCATTTGGATTTTCTTTTTCATAAATGTTTTCTTTTGGATATTAAATGTATCTACTCATAATTTTAAGGATTGATAATGAATACTTATGTATCTATCGTTAAATGGAAGTTCCTCTCTTATTATATCGTAACAATTCAGTACCCAACTAATTTTGAAAGCTGAATGTATGTATTTTTTATACATACTACACATGCATTCATACCTTTTTGATAAAGATGTTTGAAGACTTCTGTATTGGCATTTGAATTTTATAAACAGTGGATTTAATTTATTACGACCTTGGTTATAACGACCATTTTGCTATAGCGACATTAAATCTAAGTCCCTTGAATTTAAAGCATACTTTAGTATAAAATTCATGTGGCTATAGCGACTTCGGATGTAACGCCGACTTCGGATCTAGCGACTGTTTTTTAGTTAATCGTTTGTAACAAATCCCTAGTAATCCCATGCAGATATAGCGACAGGAGTCGGCCGCCAAAGGCACAAAAAGCTTTTTTATATTTTGATTACATCCACACAGACAGTCAGCAAGTGTGGTGACCTTTACCGTCTGTTTATAGATATTAGCCAGGTAGATAGATAAGCGTGTACGCTAAAATGGTTCAGTTAGAAAGTGATATTCTAGGTAGCAACTGTGTTTAGTAAACTTTTCGATAAGTATTACTCCTAGATGCACATGTACTATCTATTACTATCTATTAAAAAAAGACAGAAATCGTTTAAAAATTGAAAACTATACATGCGTATCTGTATTTGCTTACGTCTGCCTGTAACGACTTCCGAATGTAACGACGAAATTACAGTGGTCCCATTGTCGTCATTATTATTCGAAATCCACTATTTTTATAAAGGCAAATAATCAGCTACAAATGAAGGTATCGAGCTTAACAATTGGTACATAACTTTTGCATCGCATTTTAGTATTTTAATATCACCTTTACCACATGAAATGTTTTTAATATCCGGCGACAGATTCTAGAAGGATTAACCAAAGGTAAAATTAACGATTAGAGAATTTTAGAAATAACACTATCAATATTTGCAATGTCTAAAAGGTTCTTGATTCGTCAAATCTTGAATTCGATCTTATTTACGGCAAAGCAAAGTTGTTGATATCAGTTAGTTAAAAAGGATTCGAATCCTTTCATATCGTATTTTAAATTGCGTTGTTGATCTCCCAATGGCTTCTTCTGGGTGACTGGAAATATAATGATCTCTTCTCTATTTCGGTTGTTTATGATTATTTTATCTTGAAGTAGATTTTCTTAGAAATCTGGAGCACTTCATTATCTACTGCGTAAGGAGTTTTCTAGACCAAACAAAGCGCGTAAGGTCTAGGAGGTATTCCAATATTTACTTTAAATGTTACGGAATTGTTTTCACCTTACAGGTGCGTAGAAAATAAAAAAAAAACTTAAATGTAAGATGTATGCAAGTATGTGCGCTTGCTTTAAAATAAATTGAGAACGAACCTATCGGAAATCATGATAGGTCAAACGAACAGAACTGAATAGAACTGAGACTTGCACTCTCAGTAAGTGATGGTTAATTATTCTTTTCTTGTAATACTCACGGGTAGGTAAAGGAAGTGTTGCAATCCTCATCGGATGCCATACTTGCAGAGTCCTAATAAACTGGTCACTAATATTATACTGCACCATCCAGTTTGATTCGTGATAGGCTCTTATTAGTAACTCACTATCTACATAATTCTGTGGTGATTATTACTACTTAAGTCGAGTATTTGCCGGGCAAATATGTGTTTTCCTCAGGCGTGTTTGTTTTGGCACTTTATCTCCACTAACACTAGCACATTGGCGCCCGAAAAGACGAAAACTTCAGTATGATAATACACGAAAGAAGAAAAATGAGAGAACAGTCTCGACCCACCAAGTCGAAAGTTTTTCTTGGCTTGAAAGCTGGTAACGACAATCGGTTTTCGTTCAATAAAATTGATCGGTACGATTTTGTGACTGGGCAGTTTTCGGTTTCAGACGCGGTGGTACGATAAAACGATGGGGTAAGCGAGGGTGGCGCGGACGCACGGCGCGCAGGTCTTACTTTAATCGAGACACTTGTTGCGTCTTTCCGTCGGTTCAAGAGCGTGCAGTGTGGGACAGGTGTGCGAGGTGTTGTTCACTGCTCGTTTATAAGGATACTGATACATAGACAGCAGCGTACGTATTGTGGGCTGGCATCACGACTATACCTGCCCGTTCGTTATTCCTACCTGTGTATGTACCTATGTACGTTTGTTTGTGTGGTACGTACCATGACATGGTACCAGACTGAGCGCTGCCCTTTCTTCGGCCACCGACGGTACTACGAACTGAGAGGAGAGCAACGAAAGATCCACTATGAAGAAGAAGAAGAAGTAGAAGAAGAAGAACAGATATAGACGGAAAATAGACAAGCTTTCGAATTTTCCACGCGATTGGTCTGCGCTTCTCTTTTTGCCTCTCTCTCTCTCACTGTCTCTTTGTCAATTGACCAGAAAGAAATGGAATGTGGGAATCCGATTCCTCAAATAATGTGAGACCAGTAGACACCTATGTACCTAGGAAGGTATATGGATATAGGTACCAACCAGTATTTTCAATGGCACGAAATATCATTCTGGAACGTAGGTACGTACGGATGGGTTCGGATATTTCATGGCCCGTTCGTTGAAAATTCTGACCCATCTTGAATATTAATCCGATGTAACGTAAATTTGAAGACAATAAGCTTTCAACTTCACACAACCCAAAACGCCTCGGCTAATGTAAAATTATTCAAAAATATCTTTACAAATCGGGAGCTTTTACGATTGTCTTTTGATAAACATGACTGCTAAATTACTTACTTCAATTCCTAGCCGAATATGCACCAAGGGAGGAAATATGTAAACTTGTCCATGATACTCTTTACTTTTTCTGCCTACATATTAGGTAGGTATAGAATATACTAATAATTATTACGGAACTCAATACTAAAATTTAAGTTATATGTGATTATGCAGATACTTATGATTTTACATTCTCATTTTTATGGGACTCAATATGTTTTGAAAATATGAAACGGTGTGACCCATCTTTGGCTCGAAAGAAACAAAAGCTGGTTACGTCCCTGATATTATTACACATTGGAAAAACCCTAAAGCACACGGCGAAATGTCGATGTGGTTATATAAGTAAAAATGACACTGTTTTATCCCTTAAGCGCTTCTAGCTTTAGATTTTAAGTTCTAATTGGATTAATTAAGTATTCTTATACCTGACATATTATTTACTTTATGAAATACTGAGCTTTTGCTCATGGAATCACGTTTACTGTCAAATCACGGTGAAAAGCTAATAAACTAACCATACGTTTTTCTGATATAAAAGATAACCTGTATCCACTAATCCAGGACGTCGATCGTTTATCCACCAAGTTTCAACCAATTCCTTTCTACCATTTAAGTACAGGTCAAGACTTGTATTTGTACATTAGCAGAACAGGATGAAGACTATTTGTACTATGAGACTTTTATCGCTTGGTTGTTACGATATTTCGAAATTTTGTGGCAATAAATAGTATACTGCAGGTTATGATGAGCGAGAGAGTTATTTTTTGAAAATAATTCGTATTTTTCTACAAAACTGTAGTAGACCGTAAATGAAAGGATATAAACGCTCCCTAATTTATCTTTCTTTTCTTCGTCTACTTGATGGTTACAATATTCTATTCTCTTATCTTTTACTAGAGCTTTGCGTTCGTACGATAATACCACTAGTATTAACTAATATTAAGTTCTCTCTTAGTAGAATAGATAGATAAAGCTAAATATTATGAACGGGAGCTTAAGAAATAGGATGTGGAAATAGTCACAGAGGGTATTCTGATCCTGTGTCTGACATAGCAGATAAAGACCACAAGCAATAGTGACTAGGCGAAAGTTCGAAATGGACTTATCTATGGTCCATGGTGATCTACTAGAATATTTTGAAAATCGATGTGTTCAATGTTTTATAAAGTTGGAGAAGATCAATTTTGTTATAGCGTTACACGCATCACGGATGTGCTACCTTTGCCTATCTAGATGACCATAAGAAGGAGGTTCTTAAAGAGAAACTAGACTAAGATTAGTTCCTGATAGAGGACAGCAGCTCTTTCAGCATCAGGATGGCAGATATCACTAGGATCAGTGTGGCACTCTGATGCAGAATACTGTGATGTGGCAGGCAACGGGAAACCACCATATTGTGATATCTCAAGTAAAGCATAAAGAAACTCAAATGATGGCCTCCTTTGGGGTAAACTAGTACTCCATTCGGATGTCTGGGGGGACTACCTCGGGCGATGTTATCAAGTGTAATAGGGAAATATGCAATATTTCGAAGCGAGGAATGTTAAAGCAATGAGGCAAGCAGGGAAGTTGGAAAATTTGAAAGTTGAGATGAATAGATTATCTAATTGATTCGAATTAGAAATAGTAGGCATTAATGAAGTCCGTTGGCCAGAAGCTGGAGACGTCTGGAGTGCAGGACAGAGTGTAGAAAGTTTACAAAAAGCAGTAGGAAAGTGATGGTTAAATTAAACTCGAAATCGGCAAATACGGTAATAGTGCGGGTCTATATGCTTACAATGATGAAGATGTAGAAGAGGTATATGCAAATATTGAAGACGTGTTAAATTTAGTGAAAAAACAGGAAAACCTAATAGTTGTAGGAGACCTTACCGCAGTAATAGGTAAAGGTAAAAAAGGTGCAATAGCAGGTTTTTCTGGATTAGGCTGTAGAAATTATAGGGGAGATGGAGTGATAGTTGTTATAAAGACTAATCTTAAATTCAAAATTCCGAAAAAGAAGGAATGTAGGAGAAGTCTTGACTTGTATGTAATGTAACGAAACGCGTAGTAGGCTAGATATAAGGACAGACGAAATACTAAAGGAGGCGGGAGAAACGAATGACAGGAACGTAGAGACAGAACGGCACTACATTACAACGTGCCTGAGGTCAGCTGCAGATACATCAGGTCCTTAAACAAAACGAATGTAGGAAACCCTGGATAACAAACTCGATTGTAGGACTAATAGAAGAAAGGCGGAAATACAAGAACAGGACAGACAAATATAAGCAAAACAAAAATTCTGGTATGCAAAGGAAGAAAAAGAAGGAAAGGAAAAATCAGAAGAAGCGGCTGATTTTCGGTATTTAGGAAGTTAGATTACTCAGGATGGAAGGAGCAACATAAATATAAAGATAGCGGAGGGTCGAGTCGCCTCCAAAGAAAGAAGGATGGTGAACGCGGCGGAAAATAAAAGGATAGAAGCGTTCGAAATGTGGTGTTACAGGTGAATGATGAGGATACCGTGGATAGAGAAGGTTAGAAATGAAGAGATATTAGAAAGAGAGAATGGAGGGCGCTACGCAAGTCACTAAGGAATAGGTTGGTAGGACACCTTCCCATGAAGGTCTAGTAAGAGACATATTAGAAGTAGAAACATGAATTAAGTGGAGTAGAGGTAGACCTAGATTAGATTACTGTTCGCAAATAGTTAAGATGTGGAATCTTCTAGTTTTAGGGAAATGCGAAGAAGGGTAGAAAAGAATGGAGGTGCGTTATTAGCCAAATTAAATTCCATTTCTTCCTTTTGCAGTAATAGCAGAACAAATCAGAACCAAAAAGGAGTGAAATAAATTAATTTACAATATACACACGTCAACTTTTGCTGTTAATTAAACATTTACTGTTTTATCTTTATGTGCTTAACTAATATCTGGCTTTGTAACATGTAACCAACCATGCTCTGAAAAAGTTTGTCATGAACATCTGAGGACTTTAAATAACCGAGTAAAGAGTCCAAATTTTAGTCTGTACTTGTGTAAGTCTTCGCCCTTTTTTTTGGATCTGATTTGTTCTTTTATTAAATAATACTGGAGTATGCAGGTGTATTTGTTATCAATTTTTGAAGGTTTGGACACTTAACTTTTCATATCGACTTAAACTTATTTGTACCACTTACATTAGCTGCAGTCTCTCATGTACAGGAACAAATGACCAAGTTTGTGAAAATGGAACATTACTAAATTGTGAATAAATGTATCTATGTATAAAGATATGTAGCAACTGGTCTATCTTGTTTCCTGTCTTATTTTTGTATGTCGTTGTTTAGTATAGTTATAGTGAAACCGCTATCTCGCATGTAATTAAATTAACTTGAAAAGGCAACTATAGTTTTCCCATCATTGTTTGAATAACTGTTACGAAAGTACGGGGTATTTATGTGTGCCTCAAGATAACGAGATCTAGACAGGTTTATTGGATCATACTTGCAAAATATTCCGGAGCAACCGTTATGAATACCATTCCCGCGCGTATAGGATGCCAAAAAAAGGTCATTATTGAGATAGGATTCGGGAGTACACCATTATAAATACGCTTATCCCAAACGGAAAGTCTTAAATCCAAAGTGAATGTAGTTTCGTGTTTTTTGACGTAGAACCACGTCTTCTCCGACGGTACGAAGGAGAGGGTCAAATGCTCGACATTTAGAAAATAGTAATTAATGTCATTTATTTCGATTCGATTTCCTGTTCAAACAAACGCTTTTTAAAAATAATAATTAGAATTCATTTTTAGTGATGTTATTAAATGCTTTCGTCTTACAGTTTTCTTAATGTTTGAACTACTTCCACTTCTGTAACCCTTATATAATGTCTCCACAAACATAGGAACTTAATATTAATATTTAGGAGAATGATTTAAAGAAAGTGTAAATATTTTTAGAACATCAGTATTTATTTAAAGTTTCTGCATAAATATCTCTAGATAAATATCGAGACATGATCTCTTTCCTTATATGTAGACATCCATCAATTTAAATCAGTCAGAACCTATTTTTACATTCGAATATTTTCTCCTAATTTTATACATCTAGATCCGTTGGTTCCGGAACACAACAATCTCCAAAATTGGGGAATGTACATCGAGTTCCTGTATTACTAACAAAAAGAACAATAAACAAAGTGCACAAGACTATCACACATGCGAGCCATATGTCCAAATAAATTAACAATTTGTTATTTTTTAATGCTTTAAAACAGAAACAAACTTTTCCATTTGGTTGTAATTTATTGGAAGAACAACTATTGTTTGAAGATTGTTTAGCTGCAAAGGATATTCCAAAATAAAGATCCACGTATGTTTTCCTTGCATGTCACAATTAAATCCGGTCGGAATATTTCGTGAACGTATGTAGGTACAGTAAAGGAAGTGGAGTGTTCGTAAATTTATTTTCTTGAACAAAAAGGATAATTCGATGAAGTAAAATAATATTTTTCGCGACC